ATCCGAGGAGCCGGGATTCAGCCCTGCAAAGGAAACGTAAATTGGAAAGCCCTGGGTGTACATACGAAAATGGTTACGATATCATTTCTCCTGAACAGGAGGATTTATCAGGATTAACTCCTTCCACACTGTGAAGGCCACCTAATTGTAGAAGAGCAAGGGGAGGTGCCATTTTTTAAAAAAAACAAAACAAAAATTTCCACTGTTATTACAGAAGCTCTCTGACTGCAGTCTCAGACCTACCAACTAGATTTGACTAATTATAGAGCACTGTACATAGGTGTAGATAAACACTAGAAAGAATCTAAATAGGGGACAATTCAACCAATTTATTGTTTACATTTATCCAAAGTTAATTTTAGCATCGGTCATCTAGTGGTCCGGCATGTTTTATCTTGTAGAAAACACTGTATTTAAAATTCCAGTGATCACAGATCCTCCATTTGCAGATATATAGTTACCTTGTAAAATCAAATATTACTGCCTTGCTAGTGCGGCACGGTCACAAACCTAGCACGCCAGCGCAGCCCCTGCACTAGTCCCGCAAGGAGGAGATGCCCTGGGCCCATGTCTGTGGCATGCACCTTTCTTTGGAAAGGGATCACAAATCACCTGCTTCGTCAGAATGAACCCTTCTGCCTACAGCTGTGCCACATTAGAATGTAATAATCCCATTATTTACTTAGCCTCACACTTTGAAAATCACAAAACAAAGCTGAAGCTCCTTGGCAGATCCATCCTCCTGCTTCCAATCCAAACGGCCCTGCCAGAGTCACCTGCGGAAGGCAACGATTTGCTACACAACCGGGGGGAGAGGAAATAATGGAGGAAATCGGGAAAACAGAGAAAGCGCACACCATATATAAAATGTCAAATATGTCAAAATATTCATGAATACCAACATCTCCCTCTGCACCATAACCAGCTGTAAAGGTTACTTAGGGCTAACGTTTCAGCAAGTGCAGATTATGCAGCAGTGGGTTTACTTATACATAAGAAATCAGCTACAGGTGCATTCAAAGGGCTTTTATGGATGCAGCCAGTACAGGGATTTCTCCCACTAAAAGTAAAGCCAGAAAGGTATTTAAAAAATCACATAAAACATGAATTTCTAGCTTTGACTACCCTGGACATAAATTCCTACTGGCTGCTTTCTACGTCTGTGACATATGCGATGAGGATAATTATGTAAGGGACTAAGGAAGCAAGTGTTGCTGATTGCATTCCAAAACTAATAAGGCTCCTACCAGGGTCTCGTGCCCACAGTAATTCATCTTTTCAGGACTACATTTAGAATAGGCACTTTCAGAATACATTGCAACACTTCCTTGTCCCTAAGTCACCAACTGTGAATTGTATCAGAATAACGGCAGACAAGTACGGTTTTATGGAACTTAAAGCTTAATACATGCAAGACATGTTTTATATTATCCAGGCCCTCAGACAAATAAAGCTTAAATGCTAGAAAATGAACGGAATAGGCTGTATAAGCAAATAGTTGACCTGAACTCACCCCCAGTTTGTTTGTTGCGTTTGTAAATTTTTATGTATTTTGGAAGATTATATTTCACTGCAATCTTCTCACCTTTGCGAATCAGGGAAATGCATTTCACTTTGGAGAAGGAAAGAGCAATGAGACAGCCCACAGTAAAACTCTGTGGAGTTTTACTCTGCTTTATTGGAAATACAAATGTGACTTTCAGATAAATAAAGGAACAAAAAAAAAAAAAAGAAAAAAAGCATTCTCATTCATTCGTACATTGAAGGAGTGTCTTTAGAAGTCACCGCAATTGTATGGGCAGAAGTTTAGTCTGAATCAGTTCAGAGACACGGTGATAACACGAACTAGAGAAAAAGAGATCTTGGGAAACAAAATAAATCACAGTTTTGTCTGCCTTTTCACACAAACCAAGCAGAAAAGGCAGTAACAAATTTCATAATCATCATGGAGCTAAAACAGGTAATACACCTATTAATCTGTATGCCTAAAAAATAATAACAAAGCTTTTAATAATAAAAAAAAAACCTTTTAAAAAATGATTCATTCAACTCTGCATTTTGAGCTTCCACTCCCAACACTTTTCTCAACGTCTCCTTCTTTTCT